TTATGCGTCTTCCTGTGTTTTATTATTGCTGTGTCACCAATGAGATGCTGGCGTCAGGGGAACAGATGGGGTTGCTGCAGACGTCAGTAACCTAGGCAACTGCTACCTTACCTGGTCAAGCAATAACCTTACCATGTTGATATGACACCCTAGACACAAAATGATGATGGTCTTTACTCCTTGCCTATTGTTTATTTTGTTCTTCTACATTGTTTTTCTTGTCTTTAGCTTTCATTACTTTTTCAAATACCAGTCACTGACTTCTTTAAGTTGGAATTGGCACAAGATTAATAAGATTGTCTGATAAAAAGCTTGTTTTTCGTAAATTTTTGATAGAAAAACTGAATTGGGTTTTGGGGAGTTTTTCTTTCTTTTTTTTCCACCATTTTCATTTGTCCCCCATTTCAATGCCTCAAGTTGCCACTATATGCCCAATATGCCACTATATATGTTCAGTATTTATAAACATCACCATTGAACCAAAAAATTAATTGATCCAAGTGTTGAGAAGCGAGTTTAAGCAAGCTCAAAGTCTTAATATTCAATTTTAATTTAATTGGACACTCTAAATTGCCCTTAGGAGTGGATGTGAGTGTGTGCGGTTGTTTGTCTCTGTGTGGCCCTGTGATGGACTGGCTACAGGAGAATGCCATGTCAGGCAATCAGGGTTGGCAATCATGTTCTGATCAATTTATATTTTTTCTCAGACAAATAGTACAAGCACATTGTTTAAGCATAACACAGCAAGGTAAATGGTGGTATCACTGCTGACCATATCCTCTCTTGATCTCCACTGGACAGATTCTGTTGGCTAGCTTCAGCTTTAGACGGGCTCATATTACATGGCAAATATTTTTCTTTGCTTGATTCACGAACATGACATTGAGTTGATTGTGTTTCTGAACTCTGTCACCAGCCCAGAATGCTTTAAAAGAAAAAATCATTGGAATGTTGGGAAAAAAAGGATCTCGGCTACAATGATGTGTGACAGACAAAATCTGCATGAATAATGTGATGCAATCATGTGAACTTGTGAGCATGATCTCAAAGGAATGTCCTAAGCATACATGCTGCAAATAGCTACGGCTGAACTGAGAGCAAAGGGACAACCCGCCCTGCATTAGTCCAGTGCTCCCCTTAGAATGCTAAATTTTGAAAAGCCGGATCAGATTGTTTGACTATTCATGTATATTATTTTGAAATTTGCCATTTATTTACTTCTGTCCTTCTCATGCAGACAGGTAATGGTTCTTCCAAAATTCACAACCCTATTTTACTGTTGCTTGTTCCCACTGCTCCACTTTGAATTCAAGCACATGTTGCATAGATTGAGTATGATTAATTACAGATGAGGCCATTTTGCAGCGAGTCGTCCCAACAGACTGAAGGGCTATGTTTGACTTTTTCCCATGGACTGAGGACTGAAATTGGAAGACCGTGCGCTTGTCCAGTTGGATGTTTACTCGTGTCGCTCAGCTACAGGAAAAGCCAGAAGCTGACAAATATCTCTGCAAGATTACAGATAATAGTTGCTATGGAGATGCATTGGTGGGATGGCCGGTGATGCCCCAGGCAACGAAACAGACAGAGCGATGCTATCATTAGAGTGTAGGGGGCACAATGATTTCCTGTGGGGAGTAATGGTATACCACAACGTAGATTATGTGCAACTGGAGCTGTAATCCTAAACTATAAACAATAATTCCAGGATGGGGCTTTGCTTCCAAGATGGTCTTTTTTACTGTCCTGAATAGATCCCATAATGTAAACTTTAAGAAAAGTTATCTATTTATTTGTCATTTAAGTGACTGTTAGACTCTGGAAACATTTAATAATCTGTGGCAATCTCGGTAGTTCAGTTACGTAATCATGGTGTGTGTTCTGGTTTCTCTGTTCCTGTTCCCACCACTCAGTTCTCTTTCACAGGGAGGATACTCAGTGCGTTTGTTTGTGTGTATGTGTAGTATTCCCTCTCCGTTTCCCAGTCTGTCTCCCCCCTCTCGCAAAGCAGCTCAGATATTCGTTTCCCTAGCAGCAGACAATTTGACCTTAGCAACAAACATTCTGACTCCCACCTTAGCAACAGGCCAAGATCTGCGCTGTCATGGAAACCATTTCGAACCTGTCACTTGAGTCAGTTGCTAGGTGATGAGGAGAATAGTTACTTTGCAACTGCCTGGAAAGGCTCACTCTGCATGTTTGAATCCGCTGAGATTTTAAACACCAGAGAAAGAATGAGTACATACTGAAATGACTCCTTTTCCTCAATTACCCTTGTGCACTTACAGCTCACTAAAATGACATAAAACATAGTTTGCTAAGTCTGAAATTGCTGAACCAAGTGGACAATTCAAAGAAAGATATAATAACAATGTACTATTATATAAACAGTGGGTTTTTACATTTTATTGATCTGCAACATCATTTTTTGCCTTAGGGAAATTATTAGGCATGGGTTTATTAGGACTTTGTTTCAGTGAGTTCCTCCTACAGTTCTTTCTACACCCAGGACGAGATGAAGGGCAAGAAAAGGAGAGTGGCAGAGAGTGAAAGGAAAAAGTCTTGTGGTTTTTGATGTATGAAAAGGTTGCTCTATTTTACATTTAATAATAATCCTGGGAACAATACTTGGGCTTGGAAATAAAGTGTTATCATGACTATTTAAGAGTTAAAGTGCATTTTTGCTTGCTCCATTAACAGTATTACTTCGTATTCTTCAATGTTCTTTGGGAGAAGTATATCATTAAAATGCTGAGACATGGTGCTTTGCATTAAGAGCAAAAAAAACAAAAAAAACAAAAAAACTTTCACAAACACGCACACACATGTAGTAGTTCCACAAATGAAAAGCGTGTGTTGTCATCTTGTTGTTGATCTCCTAGAGATTCTGAGAGGCCTGTTAATAACAGGCAAACAGGAAGGGAACCATCATAAATGTAGAGATCAAACGCACACACAGTTGGCTGTGACTGCAGTCCCATGGCTCTCACTCCAGCAGTCAGCTCATTAAAATGTGTAAGGCAACCCCTCTCATCCTCATTCGCTCTCCTCCCTCCAACTCTCCCCCCTCTTATTTCTCTCCCATATCATCCTGTTCCTTCAATGCAGAAAATCAAATGCACTCTCCTCTCATTGGCCTCACTCTTTCCTTTTGTCACTTTCAAGATCGACTCACTCATTTGGGATCAAATCAGCACGCAAATCAAAATACTCACATCAGATTGCCGTGCATGGTGAATACATATACATCCGAGGCGTGTTGTGTCTATGCATGTGTGTGTTAGTTGAGGTCGGGTCTGCTTTAATGAATGGTTGCCGGGTAGAACAGGAGGCAAGAGGGAAGAATTTGTTAATTATGAATGGAGGGCTTCTCTCTGGATGTGAGCGACACACATTTTAAGTGTGCACGTGTGTGGTTTATTATTTGTCGGTCTGTAGCTATGCAGCAGCTACAGTGAGGACACATCTTGCGGTTGGTTTATTCTGAGGGTTGTTGTCATTTCAACCTACATCCCGGCTGGTGATGATATAAAAAAGAGGAATACTGATTCATTTGGATATAGCATCTGAGCAAAGCACTTAACGACGTCACTAGAGATAGAGAAAAAAAAGTCTTTCTCTCATCCACCTGGTACAGTATGGAGTATGGAGCATATTTACCCCTTAAAATTAAGGTGTAATATTACAGCTCAAGCAAGGCTATTTATATGCACACAGTTCAGGAGGGTTTTCAAGATTGGAGGTCTGAAATTTCATTGAATGTTTTGAGCCTGCACATTTTGTAAAAATGTAGATATCAACCAATAGATAATGTTGTTTTATTATAAATGCTGGTGCAATTTAGAGAAAACTGTTCTATTGGCCCCAGCTTTTGGATAAAACCTTACTAGTGTGGGTCCATGTGCCTTGTTATTTTGTTAAATTATGGCAGTTATATTAGCACAGAACAAAGTCAAATGAAATCTCTTGTTGTTAGTATACCTAAATATAAGTTTAGAAAAAGAAAACATCAATTGACATGGAACCCTCCTTTTTTTTCCTCTTTCCTTAAAGTGACTTAAGATAAGACACAAGAAAATACATAAAGTCCTATCTTTGTGAACCGTTATAATCTTGTTCTAGTGATTAACCCCCTTTGAATCACAGGTCTTGGTCTACTACCTTTTCGATTTGTTTTATTGGATCGTAATGTCATTGAAAAATACAAAAGTAGCTAAATATATTGCCTTTTTGAGTAAGTAACAAGATATTTACAGATTCTGTAAAAGGATTAAAAAGAAGTAAATCCCTTTTATTTCAGCATCATAAACTATCCACCACAGGGAGGGTAACACATTATATAATGAAGATAAAATGAGTGGTAACTATTGGTGACTTTGCTGCCTGAAATATAAACGATTACATTCAGCAGATTATGTATTCCCTGATTTTTATTTGAATCTGCTGACATTTGCTGCAAAGTCGGGGTGTACAGTATATTCATACAAAGCCAGAATCCCATTTTTGTGTTGGCTGTCCACCTGTGGAGTGACGACAGTTCTGAGACCGTGTTTGGAAGTCGGCGGTGTCTGCCATCGCTTAAAACCGACGTAAGCTCTGGGGGTCAGCTTTTTCCACATGGACCCGAGGTCTTGAAATAGACTGATGTTTATAGTTGCAGGTTAGCTGCACATAAAACTGGCTCTCTGAGCGCCTGTCTCTCACACAAACACACACTGGTGAGACACGACTTTATTTGGATAAAAAAAGGAGTGTGTATGTGTGTGTGTGTGTGTGAGGGACCTCCAAGAAGCCAAGAGATGTCTTTTGTAAATGGTGGCAGAGTGTAAAATAAAACAAATGCTTTTTATCCTTTACTTACGCAGCTAAGAGCTTTAATGTAAATACTGATTTCAGACCGCTGAACAAAAAAAGCAGCCTTTTGTGGTAGTTACTTTAGTTGAAGGCTCATTGTGTGTGTTTGTGTGTGTGTCACAGACTGATCTTGGGTTTGCTTTGTTTCCAGGGGCTACCAGAGATATTGGTTCAGCTCTGACCAGGATGTGCATGAGACATCGCAGCATTGAGGCCAAACTTCGCCAGTTCACAAAGTAAGATGTGTTTGTTCATCTTCTCTTTCTTTTATTACCTTTGTTTCAAATATTCATGGCCCATCAGGATGGACAGAAGCGATTTTGTGATTTCACATGAAAAGATTCCACAGCGTACATTTCTCACTGAGTACGACTGCAAAAGAATACTTGTTAAACCTCACCAAGATCCTGTTTTGCAACAAAAATGTTCCTCTTCCAAAGTGAAGAATAATGAGCATGACAACAAATTGCAAACTATCTCAAACAAACAGCCCTTCCTCTATATACCGGTAATCATCCTGCACCCCAGAAAAGCATCTTTTGAACACCTTAGCCAGATTAAACTCTGACACCAGTGAATGAATAGACCTAATGGCTTCTGTATTGCTCATCACATTAATCCTGCCTTTGGTTCAGTAGGTTTTGGAGTTTAGAATTTTGAGGTTAAACTCCATAGAAAGATGGAACAGACACATCATCTTTCTATAGAAAGATAATTGCCTTGCTTCTGCATGTCATTACACTGTATAATTATATTAATAAACAAATATATGCTACCTATGGTTGCCAACGTTGCGCATAGGAGGGAATGACTACACCCATCCTAGCAGCATTAAGAATTCGGATTTAAAGTCTTTATTTAAACTCACGCAGTAAACGACAGTCCTAATGCCTCTGCCCCTCTAAATTCAGCTTTTCAGCCATAGAACATCTTGTGTTGTTCATTGAATAGCTGTCAAAACATTTAACTTACCAAAAGTACTGACAATATTCTGTATACCTGAATCGGTTTACAACAGTCACCCTCCGTGGAAAGTTGGAGCTCACATGTCTTGTTCCACTTGAAGTTTTGACTTGACAGCAGCAGCCATATGCATGCTGTACATTTTTTTCTTTATGATAAAATAACCTTGGATGTGGGGAATTATGACCAATAGCAGGTCAAACGATAACTGCCATTCGCGTTTAATCTCTTTTGTGGTTCAACACCTTATTGTTTTCAAACCGATTAGCATCACTCTTACACGTCCGCTTCTCTTGCAGTGCTTTGATGGAGAGTCTCATCAATCCTCTCCAGGACAAGATTGAAGACTGGAAAAAGACCGCCAATCAGCTGGATAAGGATCATGCCAAAGGTAAACAAACAAACGGAACAACACCCTAACCAAGCTCTGGCCTCACGTCCTTTCTGTTGGAGGAATTCTTTCTCATGTATACCATGCCTGCAGCTTTGTGGGATGTGCAATGTAATTTCAACTTTATAAAAATATCGACAATAATTTCAGATCAGTTTAAAGATCATCTCTTTTTTGAAGTATAGATTACTGTCTCACTTACATTCATCCTTGCCTGTACTTTATTTACACATAATTTCTGATCTCTAATTTTTACATACTTCTCTGTATATGTTGCTCATTTTGCACCACATCCACGTCAAATGTATGTATGTATGTTTAGGTCAGTATACAAAATTCTGATTTCTTTGGCCAGGTAGACAGATCTCAAACCAATCATCACTTTTGATGCTTATCAGGTTCTAATGGGTTTTCCTACCAGGCAGTAGAGTTTACGTTAGTGGCCTCTCAGTCAAGCTTATAGAAAAATGTGAGATACCATTATTTCCCCCAGACTTTTTACATTTGCCTGAAAGATTCTCTGTTCCTTCTCTTTCAAGAGTACAAGAGGTCACGCCATGAGATCAAAAAGAAGTCATCTGACACCATGAAACTGCAGAAGAAGGCTCGTAAAGGTAACGCTCAGCAGTGAAACAGTCAGGCATTCACCCAGACACTCTAGGTCAAGTCTATTTCTATCACTGGTGTAACTCTTGCTGTTGCTGGGAATATATTTAATTACATACCGTCTATTTTTACCGTCTGTTTTTAAGCTCCCACCACTCTTGATATCAATTTACGAGGAATATTAATCAGTACTCATCACAAAAATAAAGAAATCTGATCAATTTTTGATTTGTGAAACTCACAGCATAAACCAGTCATAACTGGGAAAAAGAACTTCAGATTAATAGATATATGATGCCATCTTGTGGCCATAAGTAGTATTGCATGTATTTTTCATTTGTCTCGAATCATTGCAATCAATGAGTGAAAAAAGTGTCTTTTTGTAGAACAGCTTCAACTCAGTTGCCAGGCAGGTGAACACATACACCAAATAAGCCTGTTAATGAAATTTAAAATGGTAATTGTTCTTTAAATATGTCACATTTCTTTTTTTTTCAAGTTGTCACCTTCCCGCAGAAACATCAAGTGTTTTCAAAACTGTTCTTAATATCTTGCAATAACTATAGCTTTACTCTAGTCTGTAAAAAATATGCTTACATATTCAAAATCAACATGAGCACTATTATTTTGTTAATGATTGCCACTGCTTTTGTGAATGAGCAACACCCACATGGAGCTAATGAGTAAAATGGTGCCCCCTGCTTTACTTGGCAGCTATATTGGTGTTGAAATTGCTCAGATTGATGCAAAAACATGCAGAGAGGGCAGATGCCATTAAAAATGCCTGTAAGAATAAAACGTCCTAATTGTTGGGCCAGATTCTAAAATATATAGGTGATGTATCACAGCTGACAGATTGAATTGAAACAAAAATTCATATTTACAAGAGTTCTTCACATGCAGTCTTTAGCAAAAAGAGCAACAGGGGAGAAATCTTGAGGAGAAAAAAGATGGTTATCCACTATTTATTTGAACCATGTGACAGTAATACTATTTGAATTTCTTGTATGAATTAGAAGTAATGCTGGAATTAGAGAGAGGACCATGTGCATCAAATGTTTAAAGGGACAGTGAAACAATGCGGTTGCTTTGCTTTGTGATTATGTTTGCAAATGTCTTAGTTTACCCCATTACGGCTGGCGCTTTGTGATGTTATTTTTCCTGGATCGGGTTTTGGTTGTTGCAGCATTATTTTGCTCTAACGTGTGGCACTGTGGCTGTCTTGTGATGGCTTTCTTATACTAACCTTAACAATGAGTTCTGCTATTTCTGCTCTCTCTCCCCCTCTCCCTCCCTCTGTCTTCCCTCTCTTATTTTGCTTCCTTTTTTTGCCGTCTCCCACTCTGTCTCTGCTTCCCTGTGGTAATTGTCTCCCTATAATAGAGATGCAGGGTAAGTACCGGCCTGCCGCTCGCTGCTTAAATGCCACATCGATTCCTTTGATTCATATTTGCAACCTTTTCTGCAGACTTGGTCACATTTCAAGGGTTACATGAGGACACTTTATTTCTCAATGAAATATTAAAGTGACAGGACTCAAGAAAAGTGGAGGTCAAGGTTAATAAAAAGCAGTAATTAGTAAGAGGATAGTAGGATTTAGTATTTTTAAGTGAACTCGGCTATACTACGCCAATTCCATTAGAATCAAACGTTCTATTGTCATGATGACACTTTTATATATTTATTAGAAATCCAGCTTACATTGCGGTGTTTTTCAAGAAGACATACATTTTAGTATGGCAGTACAATCTTAACCCTTTAAAGCCTGATCCAAGAATAAAACAAAACAGAAAATTACTTTTTTTTTGATGTGGAAGTCTTTATTTGGCCTTTTAACAAAATATGTAAAAAGAAAAAACAGAAATACATTATTAATATAAATAATGTATTACTATGCGATAAGTCAAGATTATTTTTTGTGTAGTCTTCTGCCCCCTGTTATCAGGTATATCTGATTGTGTACATTAGGATTTTGAGCAAATGTTTTACCATTAGATTAGGAAAAAGGTGTCGGACGCAAAACATTTCAGAAACCGTATGTATCAAATATGATACATTTGGCATTACAGGGTTAAATACCTGAAGCTTTGACATGCAGTCACAGAGTAATCAAGGGGTCTCCTTTTTTTGCAAAGTTCTAAGTTACCAATTTGTAATGACTCCTGAAGAATTTAGCTATAAACTAATGTAAAACATTGAATACGGTTGTATTGGCCCAGATCAATATGTGCACACTGCAGGGAACAGATAACAGCCTTTTTCATCGTAAGAATCATTCTGCCAAGAAACAACAAAAGGATTTCAAAGAAATAAGCTTTTGATGTTTTTTAATCCCAGACTGGAGGTCATGTAGCACATATTTTTCTTCAATTAAAAATGTGTGAGAACAGTGAGGGACTAAAGGAGACCAGTCCTCTGCTGAGGCCAAAGCGTTACTGGTGTAGGTAACCCAAATCCCAACACATTGTGGGTCTGTTTCCTGTATGTCCATTGTCCACCAAGTCTGATATAAAATCAGACTTTTAAAGAAAAACAAAAAATTTGTGAAAAAACCCCGGCAACTCTTTTAGAGCAAACAGCAAACATGACCTTTAGAAAAAAAAGGGAAAAAAAAGCTCCTACAGCGGAGGTAAACATCAAAGGTTTTTGTTGCTTGGTGGCATATTATTGAGTTGAGACTCTGTAGTAACTCACAGTTAGATAAGTTCCACTCTCGATGATGCATGATGTAATTAGACTTCCTCTTTGACTCCTGCATGACTTTTAGCTCTTGCTATTAGCTTTGTAGTGACACTGCAGGCTTTTTTTTCTGTCATGCTACCACTCTTCCCTCACTCTCTCGTTCACTCTGACCCTGATAGGACTGACATCTTCCTTGATTTATCTGCATGCTGTAACACTACAAAGATTTATTTCATGTCTTGCCGTCTTTTCAATGCATTTCTTTTTTGTTTTTTTATTTTATTTTTTACTAGATAGCAGGTTACACGCCATACTTGTGCATCTATGTCTAAGATTTAGTGATCTCTGTGAAATCACGTTAAGTCTTCAGACAGAAACTGTATTTTTGTTTTGGCTCTGTGGTAAAATTATGTTAAATTAGGACTACTTCAATGAGATATTGTGGAAACTGTACCCACTCTGACATTTTTTGGGATGATTTATTCTTCTCATTTAGAAAGTTTCCACAAAAAAGCAGCTGGAATACAGGTTTCTCTCATTTTGTACATACAGTTGCACTGTATGTTTTGTTAACATTATGAATCTACAGAGACTTCTTAGTGCAGTACATGACAGAACTATGACAGAGCTAAAACAATGGAGCGGAACGTCATTTTTTATCATCTGTCGTTATGTTCTGGAAAGCAAAAGGTGGTGGATAGATATCCAAGAAAAAAACAAAACTTTTTGCTTTTCTGTATTCACCAATGTAATGACTTCCCATTCATAATCCTGCACCTTCAGTTTTTCTTTTAATCACACTTTCTCCACAACTTCCTGTGCCTCGTTTCGGAAGCTTTATCTCACCACCACCTTTTGGCACCGCAGGGCGCGGGGACCTGCAGCCCCAGCTGGACAGCGCCATGCAGGATGTGACCGACATGTGCCTGCTGATGGAGGAGACGGAGAAGCAGGCGGTGCGACGCGCCCTGGTGGAGGAGAGGGGCCGATTCTGTACTTTTATTAGCTTCCTTCAGCCCGTCGTGGTAAGGACACAGCAGAGTCTGTGTAGGAAAATAATAAATCAAACATCATCATTTATAATACAGTAAGTGCAGTGGGGAAAACAAGTATTTGATACACTGTTGATTTTTCAGGGTTGGAATCTAAAACAAAAATCCAGAAAAATATAATGTATGATTTTTAAATAATTAATTTCCATTTTATTGTGTGAAATAAGTATTTGATACACCAGAAAAAAGGAAACTTAGTATTTGGTACAGAAACCTTTGATTTTTGTTTTAGATTCCATCACTCACAGTTGAAGAGTACCTATGATAAAAATTACAGTCTTATTCAAGCTTTGCAAGTGGGAAAACCTGAAAAATCAACAGTGTATCAAATACTTGTTCTCCCCACTGTATGCTATCAGTCTGTGTTAGGTGTTTTATATGATCATTAGATGTAACAAAAGTAGAATTAGGTAGAAGTTTCAGCTTGTAGTACCTACAAAGGCTTATGCAATAAATCATTTTTTGCATCGAGCAAAGTTTGTTCTGAGGTTAAAAGGAAAAAACTTGAATTTTGAGCAGAGTTGATACATTTGGTTTCATGTTTTTCTGTTGTGTGTGCAAAAACCTCCACTTAAACAAATTCCATGAGGAATATTACCCTTTTGTTCAACAGTTTCACCATAGGGAGTATTTCAGTCATCTAATGCAGAGTCAAAACATTTCTATACTATGTTCCATTGTTCTTTTTTAACAATCTTAGCTTTGTAAAATTCTCTCCCAAATATACTCGGTAAGGTTAAAGTCTGTTGTTCGTGTAGCTATGCGTGGAAACTGTGCATCCTGCTCCCAGATTCTTTCATAGTTTAACCCTTCTAAACCCTTATATTATTGAACCTGCCATGAAGAAATAAAAACAATCATACACATAGTTAGGGGACAAAATTTCACCTTAATCAGAGGTCCTAGCAATGCCCCAAAATACACATATACAACCTTTCGGATGTGGATTCTTTTTTCTTTTCAGAATGCATGGGCCGTTTATCACAGTTCATTATGTCCTCTTCACAATGTGCTTCAGGGGAATGTTAATACTTGCACTTTTTAAGCATTGCTTGGATTTCATAATACTCTTCGGACCACATTTCTTCCTCGAAGATTAATGTTCCCCACCATCCTTCCAGGTTTTATGTTGGGCATTTCTTAAGCCAAATTAAGAGTTTTGCCTTTCTCTTTAGTTGATTTTGTTGACTCAGTGTAGAGCAATGTGGCTAATAAAGGAATGAAAAACTGCTCGCTGTATTCTTTAGTTGATAAACTGTTGCTAGTTCAAACATATTAGTTTTGCAGTATATAAAACAGTTCTGTCTATGCATATCAGGCTCCCACTACCACACTGGCACAATGGGAACAGCCCTTTTGTCATGGGCAAAACATCACGCCACATTCTGGTATTATTTTGTATTTTCAGCCGTTATTATTTTTATTGCTCAAACTAAAATAAGAAAAAACATAGAATATTGAAGCAAGTATAAACTGTAGGTTATGATTGCTGTAGAACATACAAAAGGTCCCTGTATTTTGAACTTTGAGATGAAACAAAAAAAAGACAAGAGAAGAATGAAAAAATAAAGATTATTTCTGCTTTGTTTGTTAGAATGGAGAGATCGCCATGCTGGGCGAGATCACCCACCTCCAGGCCATCATCGACGACCTCACTGTGCTCACGACCGATCCTCACAAACTGCCCCCCGCAAGTGAACAGGTGAAAGGGACGGACAGCGGGCAGAACAACAACAAAAAATAAAAACTAGCAAGCCATAACCAGACTCTGCCTTTCTGCTCTCTCAGGTGATTAAGGATCTGAAGGGGTCAGATTACAGCTGGTCCTATCAGACCCCCCCATCATCCCCGAGCAGCTCTGGCTCCCGAAAGAGCAGCATGTGCAGGTGCTCACACACACACACATGTACACACAAGCACAGTCAAAACTGACCGACAACTCACGTAGTAATGTACGCAAGCGAGTCTCTACTGCTTTTGTGTTCCCATCATTTTGCTGTTCCTGTCAAGCTCCATTTTCTATAATCCCCAGATAATAAACCACAGAATTCAATAAAACAAACAGCAGAGACTAAATGAGTTTTGTTCTAAACACAAGACGTGCGCAAACATATCAGAAGAATGCTAAAAACTCTGAAGTAATTTTGGTTTTCTGCGCTAAAAGCAAAAGAAAATCGTTAGTAATGCCATTGTGTGCGTGAGTCTCTTCGTGATTCACTCGCATTGTGTTCCGCACTATGTGTCTATGTGTGCGCATCGGCTTGTCCGGAGCTCACACACTCTCTTTACCTCCTCCTGCCCTTTTCTTCTCCCCGCCTTTCCCCTTTACCACAACCACCTTTCTTGGTAATTCTCCCTTCTGCACATGCCAATTTTCCTCCTCCTCCTAACATGTGTGTGTGCACTTGTGTAAGTTGCTCTCTTTCTCTCTGCTGGTTCGCTGATTGCCTGCTTTTCTATCTCTTTTGGGGTTTGTACTTTTAACTGCGGTGTGTGACTTTGCATTGCTGGTTTTCGCTAACTTGATAAACCACCAAACCTACTCTAAACTATTCCTGCACTTCAACCCATCGTATAAACCAATCACCTTCCATTCCTATATTCCTTTCAATCATTTTCATTTTACATCTTTAACATTGACTAACCGCTCTTGCAAATTTAATTAATTTCAATCTCACCCTGAATCAAACCCTTCTATTTGGTTTGTTGAAATCATGACCATGGTCTCGCAAACATCCTAACTTCTCATTGCTGACGCCTCCATCACTCTGCCCTCCTCCCCTTGTTCTCCTTCACTTCCCTCCCCCCCCCCCCCCCCCACCAGCGTCAACAGTGCCCACAGTAGTGCCTCCCGTTCGTCGGGGGGAGGCGTAGGTATTGCCGGTGGAGGAGGCTCCCAGCCACACTCACCCACCTCCTCCTCCTCCTCCTATCGCTACCGCAGCAGCCTGCCGCAGCAGCCCCCGCCCCCGGGGGGCATCGCCGCCCACCGCCTCAGCAGCGTGTCCTCTCACGATTCGGGCTTCGTGTCGCAGGACGCCAACATCTACTCCAAGCCTCCGTCGCCCATGCCGTCAGACATCACCAGTCAGGTATTGAAGATTGTGCACAGTGATATATACGTTCATGCTCACAAAATTGTACATTTTTTGTTGTGGTAAGGCCTCAAATGTATGTGGTGAATGCAGAGGCCATATCCCTCAGGGTACCACTTTTCTACCACAAAAACAGGCTTGTTTATGGCTTGTTTTACATTTTAACATCAGTTATGTCTTGCAGATAAAGGTGAACCTTAACTGTGGTATACTTTATATTAGTAAACAAGCAAAGAAATAAAATGATGTCCAGAGCATCTTTAAAACTTTGTCTCTCTTCTGGACTGGTAGGATTTAGCAGACCATATTTAAATTGAATATATATATGATATACGTTCATGCTCACAAATTGTACATTTTTTGGTGTGGTAAGGCCTCAAATGTATGTGGTGAGTCACTAATGGATGCTGAGGCCATTTAGCAGAGCAAAAATAATGGACAAAGAACATAACCAGTTGCTAACAGAAATTTCAAAGAGGATAGGAGTCTGAGTTTTATTCTAGTCGTGGGGAGACAAGCACAGATACAGGTACAAAGTCACTTATTCATGCCTTCTAAGCGGCAAACAGTGGAAAAATGCTGATAGCTGTCTGGAAAAAGTAAGAATTTAGTTGTTTGTCTGGAGGACAAGGTTGTCTTGTAATATAATGGGCAGATACTGATGTCGAAGCCTATTATTTTCTCTCAGTATAACCTCATGACACCAAGTGTCCTTTAGAAATGAAGAAGAATCATGTTCTATTAGGAGTGTATGTAGCCTAGCTGTTGAGAAATATTTGTGATATACACACACATGACAATCAGGATTTCTTGGCAGGGAGTGCCAAAATACAACTCTAAAAGGTGCACATTTGCCTGCTTTTCTGTTGTAGAAGTCATCCAGCTCTGCATCATCGGAAGCCTCAGAAACCTGCCAGTCGGTCAGCGAATGCAGCTCCCCAACTACCGTAAGTATTCTTATTCATCTAGCAGAACGTGGTGTTCTCTTTAAAAACAAACTATCAAGACCTGGAGGCGTAAAAAAAGGACCAAGTTCCACTCCTGTAACTGTTACGTTAATCAGGCATTGGTTTTTTTCACGTTTATGTAATTGAAACAGACACAGTTCGTAATTTAGCCAACAATGAAAAAAAAGCTGAGGATATCAGGTGTGCAGTGTGTTAAAGCTAAGGGGATATTCTTTTAGTTCACACACACATGAAAACGGGGGGGAATGGAATACGTCAAATAACTCAACCAAATGAAGCATCGTTCCAAATCAGGAAACCTCACCAAGTATTTTACAAATTTGAACTTTTATAAACTTTTAACTGAACTTTGTTAACAAACAATTTTTTTGGTGACACTGAAATATAAAATGATAATTGAAAATATAGTTTTCATTACTGTTCAAATAAAAATAACACCCAATCGTTACTTCTGTGACTACGTTTTAGATCTGTGCTAAATTTCACTGTCTGCAGCGTTTTATGCATTTATTGAATAATTGGGGACTGACTTATGAATGGAAACACAACTCGAGATATTGACACTCCCCATGGGAGGTTTAATTGGTTCTCCGTTAGAGAACGATTGCTGGTTGGATGAAGCATCAAAGCTCGAAACAGGAGAAAAGGGGCAACATTAGAAATGAAAGCAAAAAAAGAAAGAAAAAAGTATTTCTACGCATGAATCTTCCAATTTAATAACCACAGGTAACACTGACTGCATTCAAGTGTACGCTTTTGTTCATGAGGATGCACTCATGCAAATCCCCTCAAAATCAGAGATGCCATTTGTTAACTTTTGAGAGCTCCTCTCTTTCTCTCACACATACTTTGTGGAGCGTGCACATCTATTTGCAAGGGGAATATATCATAAAGATGAGGCTCAGGAGCCAGAGTAAAGATTCATCTTATTTTAAGTAGCATCTGTCATCCACAAAAGTTAGCACATGCTGCCTTTCACTTGCCATCTGTCATCTATCTGTAATTCGAGTGCAAACATTGTCAGAATTTTTTTGTTTGCCAAACCTGTGCTAGTTATTGTGGGTGAAAAACCTTGAAATATCATCCCAAGGCAAAACAAGGCATTTCTGTATGAAAAAAACTTTTTTTATCTCTTTATACATCAGACTAAAAAAAAAAAAAGAAAAAGGAGGTGATGGCAACCTCAGGACACATAAGACACATAATAAAAAAATCATGACATGCTTAAACTCGTCTGCTCCTTACATCTCTGAAAGCCTTTAGATCGGTTTCAACATTTCATCTTTCTGCATCTACATCAAACAGCTCTGGTGCAACAGCTGCATGAAATAGATGTGAAGCTACCAGTTAAATTAAAACACAGTAAAAGCAATCAAACGTCTTCTTTTTAAAACAAAGAATGAAATTCGATAGATAAACCATTTACATGAAATACAGAAACACTTGGCTACATAGTAAGAGTTTATGTGGAAACAAGGAATCTTTAACAGCAATATTCTTTCTAAGTATTCTTTCTGAAATACACTCAATATCTTATGCCCTTATGTTCTGTACTTGGTGCACTTTTAATGCACTTTATTACTTCATTGTTAAAACAAACAGTTGCAGAGAGTCATTGACTCATTCAGGACTAAATTAGGTCGAAACTAATTGGACAACTCTGCGGTTTGAAGTTCTTATTCAGCTTCAGTAGGTGTTGGTTTTTGAAGTTGCGAGAATCGATTCTTGCCCTTCGTGGACTGAGGATCAGTAGGAACTAGGAGATTAGCAGTGTGTCCTTCTCGTCTTTTGGAGCCGCAGTGGTCATTATCATGTCCTACAAAGTTTTGTTAGCTCTGCACAGACCCAAACCTGCGGGGCAGTGGTTCTTATGGGATGGGGTTTAACGTTTGTGCTGTTAGGCACTACTAGACATAAAATATTCTTCTTGTTCTCCTCAACCAGCTACTTTCCATACTGGGATGTACTGTGTTGGTGAGACAAAATTGACATTGACAAACATGGTCAACATTAGTTACATGTAAAAAAAAAAAAAAAAACTATTTAAAGGGAAAGTAGTGTTGTAAGAAAAAGTACAAATGCTCATAAACTTCACTCACTTATGCATTGAAATACATCAGATATGTCTCTAGTTTAAGATAAGATAAGCTTTATTGATCTCACAGTGGAGAAATTCACTGGTCACACATCGGTTTAGTGATTAAAGAGGTTTCAAACAAGGAGGAAAAGGTGCATAAAGTATAAACAATAAAAATGAATAAAAATACAAGGAAGTAACAGAGATTTGAGTGACATATGTACAATCAGTTTGGGACCACATTTTGAATTGGCCAAAAACAGAAATGTGTGCTATGCACACATTCATGAAATAAACTGGATGCGAGTCACATACGAGAAAAGAACGCAGATAAGGTCGTTGTGATGCCTGTGTCCTATCTACTGCTCATCTATTCCCGTTTCTCGGTTTCAAATGGATGGTGTGTGAGTGCCTATAAAGAAGGTGTCACGTCGGTCTGCATGTTGAGTGCCACATTGTGAGAAAAGCTCTACATTGTTGTCATTGTTGTCGTCCAGTCAGATTTTGGACTCATTTTAAAACAGAAAAGACTAAGAAAAGAGACCAAATTGAGCGAAACCTATAGAAAAATCTTAAATTGAATACATTTCCGTTAGCAACGTCGTCTCACAGGAAGAGTGTTCCCGGTTCGAGTCCGTCCGGCTTCCTCCCACTGTCCTAAAACATGCATTCTAGGTTAATTGGAGTGGTTGTTTGTCTCGGTGTGACCCTGCGATGGAATGGCAACCTGCCATGGCACCTGTTGTCTGCTGGCATAGGTTCCCCATTGGGAATAAGCACCATAGAAAATTGATGGATGAATACGTTTCAGTGCTGGACTCTGATGTTCTCTCTCCACTCTGATTTCTGTGCACATTAAGTTACAATGTCTAGGAATCCCCTTTGTGTGCATTAAGGATTTTTAGAAAGCTTTTAGAAATGTTTTGCAGTGGCTGCAAAGATCCTTTTGTGCAGAACCAGACAGAAGATATCCTCCAAGCTAGATCGAGCCTCACAATGTGGAGCATTTATAAACCCATTTACCCAAATACAGATGTGACACAGACTTTACTTTTCCCATTGTAGATGTTCATGCTTGCATTGTCATGTGTTTGGCCCACTGGTCCCACGGCCGGCCGCCTCTCTCCGTCTGCTGCCTTTTCATTCTCTGCTGACACGACTATGTCTCTCGTCCCGCAGTTTGGCTCGTCCTTCGCTACCTTCCGCCCCGCTCTTTCTCACTCTGGCTCCACCAGGCCTCTCTCTGTCATTCTTCCTGTTCCTGCGTCCCCACCCTATATCCGCCCCTCAGGATCCAGCTCCTCCTCTCCCACATCAAAGGTTCCTATGTGGAAGGTTTGTTCTCCATTCGCTGCCATTTCTTTAATTGCACATTTTTCTTCTGTTCCTTTTCAATAAGTTCCAATTAACATTTAAGTTTTTTTTTTTCCTTTTAATTTCTCCACCAGATTAACTCATTCATAACCACATTGCTTTGCTCCGTTAAAACCTTCATTTTTCCTTTGCAGCCTGTGTTTGCGTGTGTAAGCATTTGTTTTGGCCCTCCCTGTCTCACTGGTTTTTTCACTCTACAAACTGGTGATTGGCCAAAACAAAGTAAAGTCTAACTTCCCCATCTCATACACCCTCAAATAAAAACAGCTCCTACTCACAAACAGTGACTTCGACACACATCCAAACAATCGCACACATGCACGCACACATACACACACACACACCCCTGAGGACCCCCTTTCTTTGCACTCGGATGAAGGGCTTCAAACTGCTGGACAGTGGACAAGTCTCGCGTGCTTAACCCGCCAGCTACTTCCTGTTTAATTAATTCCACTCGCTTCCTTCAGGATTGGTCCAAAGCAGGTCAGTACGAGCAGCCGGTTGCCGCGGCTCCGGTTCAGAGAAGAAAGGAACCTCTCGATCGACTGAGGGAGAGCGAGGGGTCACCAAGCTCCCAGGGGTACGCTGGGGCAGCGCACCTCGACGACGGCCAGAGACCCAGGATGACCCCGGCCACGATCGCTGCCAAGGTGCTGTCAGATGATGATTAGATCGTATAAAAAAGGTTCCAGTGTAGCTGGTGTGGATAGCTGAGCAGTCAGTGGTAAACTTATTCAATTCAATTGTATTTATATAGCGCCACATCACAACAACAGTTGTCTCACAGCGCTTTTCCAAACAGAGCAGGTCAGACCCTACTCTGAAGTTAATTACAGAAACCCAACAATTCCCACCATGAGCAAGCACTAGGCGACACAGGAAAGGAAAAACTTCCTTTTAACAGGCAGAAACCTCGAGCAGAACCATGGCTCAGGGTGGGCGGCCATCTGCCTTATCTCACGTTCCTCTTTATGTCCACAGCATGGAGAAGAGGTTTCCCCAGCAGCCAGCGACCTGGCCATGGTACTGACCAGAGGCCTGAGTATGGAGCAGCAGAAAAGCAGCAGGGACTCGCTGCAGTACTCCAGTGGTTACAGCACAGAGACAACCACCCCTTCCTGCTCTGAAGACACGATTCCTTCACAAGGTCAAAATCCAATCTGTGCTACTTCCGATCTAGCTCAGCCATCATTACATCTCACCTGGCTACACTCACCGTTATATTTCTTATAGAATCTGATAAAAACAAACAAACAACAGTAACCCTTTAAACAGTATTGTCATTATTTAGTTGGTGTACAGATTTGTTTTATTTTATTGGATCACTTTAACTGGTCAGTGTTTTAAACGACTGTGTCTATTCAATAATCTAGGCAGCTGAACTTTATGACCGAGGCATGCTGGCAGATGTTGATGGCAGCAGTAAAGAAATATTGTGTTGTGTGTGTCCCCAATAGTTAACTTATTGACTGCCAGCCATTTTCAGAACAGAGAGTCCCATACTGCCAGAGTTTTTTGAGCATTTTGACTGATTTTTCAAGAGCCACAGAATAGTTTGTGCTATGACTATGTAAACACCGAACACACCAAAAGAAAGAGTGGACTTTCTTCTTTCATCAGGAAAAAAAATTGTTTCTCCCTTATTCCGTTCTTCCTCGACTTGCGTCTCATCGGCGACATGTTCTCTCATAGCGAACCGTTACCTTTTGTTATTTGCCTACAGTCTATGCTTAGCTCCCATCAAAAGTGGCACTGCCACCTAGAGGGTCAATTTGTTAGTACATACTCTGTCTAGAAGCCTGATATTTACGGAAAAGCTTTAGCAGATCGTCCCCCAACCACTCTCGTTGAAAAAGCCGTTGTATTTGAATTGACGTCTATAGACGTCTTTGGCAGCCAATGAGTTAATGTTGGTCTGAGGATCTTTGTTTGTATTGTTTCTCATTGGATTTCTTTTTTTTCTCCTTCCCGCCGACATAAATGCCTTTTAGGTTCGGATTATGACTGCTATTCTGTCAACGGTGACACAGAGGGTCCAGATGGACAGGCAGAGTTTGACAAGTCCTCCACAATCCCTCGTCATTCCAACATAGCCCAGAACTACAGGCGCATGATCCAGACCAAGAGGCCCGCCAGTACGGCCGGCCTGCCCAGTGGAGTGCTTGGTCCAGGGGTTCACGGGATACCGGGACAGTCAGGCGGGGCCGGCGGAGGAGGGTCAGGTACTCCGGGCACCGCCACCATCCGCCGAACCCCATCTACCAAACCGGGAGTGAGGCGCACGTTGTCCAACGCGGGGCCGATCCCTATCCGACCACCCATTGTGCCTGTCAAAACACCCACCGTTCCCGGAGACTCGCATTCCCCCGGGGCCGGAGGGTACGCGGGTGGAGGGCATCCAAGTGGCGTGCCCGTCCGTGTGGGCAGCGAGGAGTGTGTGTTCTTCACCGGAGCCGAAGACACGCAAGGAGGGCTCGACTACGTGAAGGCCTCCCCGAAACGCCTCAGCCTGCCCAACACCGCCTGGGGATCAGGAGCGGCGTTAGAGGTCTACGCCCAGCAACACGGGGGCCTCGTGATGGCGGTGGGCTCGGGGTCCGAGGAGGAACAGATGATCGCGGCGAATCGCCACAGCTTAGTGGAGAAGATCGGCGAGCTGGTGGCCAGCGCACACGCCCTCGGTGAAGGGCAGTTTCCTTTCCCCACCCTCCCGGATGACCCTGCGCCGCCACCAACGGGCTCTGCAGACTCTCAGACAGGGACAGAGGGGGCCGAGGGGTCCGGCGACATGCTGACCACCATCAGGAGAGGGGTTCGCCTTCGCAAAACAGTCTCCAACGACCGCTCAGCTCCACGTATATTGTGATTGGATGAACAGCGAAAAGAAGAGGATGATTGTCGGCTGATGGGGGTCAGGTGTTAGCGTGGAGTAATCCAACCACCTAGTACATACACACCTTAATCATGTAGGGAAAGATATAATATATATCATAAGACGAATGAAAACAAAACATACACAAAATATGTTTAAAAACACCTTTAGAGTAAAAGATATATAATATATTGATAATGATAACATTGATAATGTTAACCCATTCTGACCGTTAAAAGTTAAGTACTCAATATTTGACAGGTTCTTAGCAGGCCTCTATAACTAGTGTGTGTTGGACGCATGTTTGTCTTCTATACACCCTCACCCAGGGACTGAAAGACTCACAGGAAAAAGAAGATACGATTTTATAAAAAGAAAAGAGGCAAAGAAAGAACGAAACGCCGAGTTTTGTTTCTGTTTGCCCTCACACCCTCCTCTCGATTCTTTTCTCTTACTAACCTGACTGTCTGATCTCAGATGAGACTGGTGACTGCAGGAGGGGCTGATGGGGCGAATGAGAGAAAGAGGAGTCAGAGTGCCATGTGGCCAGCTGGATTTGAACCCAGGCTTGTCTCAGCAGCAATGCACTGTCCTTTCGAAGCCCAATGATCTGAAGTTTTGGTACTAGCACGAGGAGCTAACAAACAAAAAGGCCTTTCTGGTTCGTCCTAACGTCAGAGACTAAAAAAAGCGTTGTTGGTATTGAACCGTGCTAGTTCCCCCCTTCCCCTCTATCTCTCTAGTGTGGCCGTGCTTTCATGTGTATGCATGGGGGCAAATGTAAAATAGGGTGTGTGGGTACATTTGACTGATTTATGGTGTGAATGTGTGTGTGTGAGGGGGGTGGGTAGAGCTCTGCTGCAGGACAGCTGGTTACCCATTGAGGGCAGGGCTTTTCTCCTGTTGTGTTGTGTGTGCATTTTTCTTGTTTATATTGTGACGTCATTTACCTTGTTACCACTGTACGAGAAGTCACGAGACGTATTCCAGGCGTATAGATATATTCATATATATTTTCTAGAACCAGAAAGAAAATGTTAAATCAGAAATGGAGCAATAAATGTGTTTTATTTTTTTGGTTCAAAGAATCGGATTGATGAAGGATTCTCCTTCGTCCCATTCAGGCAATCATCAGGAATGCGAAATTACACATCGACTGTGAATTAATGCGTAGTCAGTTTTGTCATGTGTCTCTCTCTCTGTCCCTGTCTCTTTCAGATAAATGAAATGGAATAGATTTTGAAAAAAAAAAGGAAAACTGTAAGCACTTTGATGGGATAGAGAAATGTACAATAGCCAGTAGGTGTTGGTGTAGTCATACTGCGTGATAGGGAAAGTGAGAGTGACAGTTGTGTCCTGAGAAATTTATTTAATTTTTGAAAGAGGAAGACAGGAAGAAATGGGAAGAGGAAGTGATGAGGACAGGTGACACTGGAGTAATTGGTCAAATAAGTGGCAGGATAAGAAGGTAGCGCAAATTATTGATCTAATAATAGATCAGGCATCAGGGGTACCAAATGTTGGATTGTGTTTATGCACTGGTATTTGAAGGATTTAACACATAATGGAAAAAGGTTAAAAAAACAAAACATTGCATTTCTCAATGAGACTATTTTGGATTATGCTCCTTGTGCTGCTATTAGTAATAATTTAACATGTTTTGGTTAATATTAATCTCAGTCTTTAAAGTCAAAGAAAAAATTAGACAATACATTTTCAAATCTTCTGAACACAATCTGTTTATTGTAGAACAACTCAAACACTTGTTTCTTAAAACAGTCACATTATCTTGACATACATATGTATATACACATTTGTATACACACACATAGTGTATATATGTGTATATACCCACATATGTATAAATGCATTACAATGCAAGCATATAAGAAAATATAGTCTCATTTATGAATACAGCAAGGTTTTTTGTTTGTAGGTTAGGAAATTTAGGCCTCGGGCATAACTGCACAACTATTTGATTCATTTAATTTTTTGTTTAATACGTTGTTTAATAATAGGGCTTTCTGTAACCCGGTCAGTTCTCCATATTCCTAAATGTACAGAGTGTTGTTAACAGTGTTGGGCAGTTCTTGCAAGTGCTTTGCTATATACAGACAGCCATAAAGGATTACAGTTTATTAAAACCTAAAATTTGTTTGCAGCAGCTGGAGGAGTTAGCTAGGTTCATGCATGCCATCGTTGCTCTTCTTGAGCTATCATCTAGCTGCTGAAGGTTTTGTCTTCTTTCCTAATCTTTCAGTTGAGTATTAAACATGTACAAATTATTTAAAATCTTGATGTACAGCCGAAGCAAGCTGCCATTGATTTAAAGTTTTCTTTAGTTGTCTTGGAACTTGCCCAACACTATTTACAAATTAGATGTAACCTGAAAACTAGACACTGAGTTATTGAGTCTAAAAGAAAACATGAATTAATTAATTCAAAGTAATTGGGTTTCTAATAGTGTAAATAAATCATACTCAATTAAAAAAAAAAAAGAGGAAAAATCAACAGAAAAAAGAGGAAATCACCAGGCCAACACAATACAGTTCAGAACAAATAGTCCAATTCAGTTTATCATAGTGCAGATAACCCAGTTAAGCTCAGGCCACGACTTTGTGAGGGTTTTTATTTATGGTTATGAAAATTTATCAATATGTGAACCTGCTGGATCTGCTCGATGATGGCAAAGAAGCAGCGAGATCTAGATCAGACGTCTGAAGTTGGCGGGGAGAGGAGACGATGCGTGGAGTTAGCATTTCACTGCCTGTTCATACAATATGTACTGTATATGCTGTACTTGTAAAGAGAGTCAGGTGCGCAGATTTGGTATAAAGGTTTGTTTGAAAAAAATTACGTGGAATAATCCATTTGTCATGTTTTTTCCTTCTACAGTACTGTTTGAATACTAAGTCTTACTTTTAATTAATGTACAAAGAAGAAAAAACTCCAGTTGTGACACAAACTATGAAGCTGTGCAACATACGGATGTAAGATGTCTGGACCAAGAGTGAGTGCGTTCTTGTTTGGCTGTTGATTTGTAGGCTAGTGACCCCTCCCACACCATGTCTTTACACTCCTCTAGCAGTGACCTGAACATAGGCAGAGATATCTGCTCTCTCATCGATGTAATGCCTTGACTAGAGCATTTTTGACATATTTGTGGCTGATTAGCGAGAGCAATAGAATGCTTTCTTTTGTTTAAGAGTAACATTTTAATCCGTTTTTCTGACATGTTCTGCAAGCACACTTTTTGTTTTCTTTTATTGAATTCTTGCATTTCTTTATTTCTTTTTGTCATGGGGACCCACTGTACTGTAAGTGTGTTGTTTAAAGTGGATGCTGAGTGTGAGGGGACTGAATGAGAGGGTGGAAGGGGAAAAAAAACCATGAAGCTTGGGTTCCATTCGTGGAAAGGAAAATAATTATATATTGGCAAGAATATGTTCATCTGAAAAGTTTGTCTTAAAGACCATGTCGGGATCACACTGTACAAGAATCTACATATGTATGTTGAATGTACTGCAAAATTAAGGGGGGGGGTCATCAATCTGCACATGTTTGATTTGTTGGAACTGTTGCATTTCCAGAGCTTTGCTCTCGAACAACTAAGTCTACGTCTACATTCAAAGCAGTATGAAAGCAATACGGGGCAGTGTGCACGTATGTAGATTCACATTGATGTTCCACTGTGGGTAAGATAAAGGAAAATACCACTGTCTCTCTCCCTGTATGAGTACTCCACTTACAGAGAGCCAGTTATTTCTTATGTAAAGAATTTACGGGTCCTGGTCACTTTTGATTCTTTTAAACTGTTGTATAACAATTCAGCACCAAACCAGGATTTTACTGAAATAGTCTACTTCGCACAGTAGAATATTCTAACTGGATGAGATCTCAACTAAAGCTAAACAGCATATATCAAATTGTAAAAGGGGATGACTGATGATATGATCAGTGTAAAATGAGAAATAACAACACTGCTATTTTCCTTTAAAGTGCCCAGTTAACAGCACAAAAAATATTACTAAATAATGTTTTAAAATGCTAAATGAACTGTGTACTGAACTAACTGTGTGAACATGCTGATATATCTATTCTGCTGCAGTGTCAATATGTCAATTTTTCTGAGTGTGTGGGTATGTGGATAGAAATATGCTGACCAGCAAATAGGTAAAGCTGGTGCCTGTACATACATAGGAACTTCGATTTACATGCGTGCAGGCATGCGTGCATACACACAAGCACACATACACACATAGACATAGGATAGAAATACGAAATTCCTTCTTCTTCCACGGTGAAACATGACATACTTCTAATAACAGTTTAAGGGAACAAGCATCATGTGGTGTTATATTGTTACATTAGTTGAATCATTTGGATTCATCAAAAAGTCTAAACTAGAACTTCCAAAATCTTTCATATATTTTAGATAGTTTTTCCATCAGTTTATTCGCTTTTGTTTCTTACCAAGGCCGATTTATGGTGAAAAATGTAGGTCTGGTTAGATAGTCCAAATGAACTTTTCATAAGACAAAGTAAAATAACAAAAATTGGGGTTTAGAAAAGGCATTTTTTTAGCTCAGATGTGTCACAAAGGCTTTCTGTGATGGTAGGAATGGGCAGTATGCATACATCATTGATATTAATAATACTCTTAATCTCAAAATGAGTCCAACGTGTAAAGAATGTGTTTAATCGATAGAATATCCCACATAATATGCAATAGTCTGATCTGCCTGGAGGGGCCACTGAAGTTGATAGCTAAATTACTCTTACCAACCACCTGATCCTTATTTTCTTTATTTACACACTATTTTAGTTTCTTATATTGCTCTCAACCTTCATCCTCATCCATTCATCAGTAAACTCGGGGATGCCAAGTAGCTGGCAAATTATTAAAAAATGCTCGTCACGGTGGTTGACGACAGCTCCCATTGACTGTGGTCTGTGTCTTGGTGCCTCTCAGCCTGCGTAGGCTAATTATTTGGATGAAGTCTTTATTTCCACTGCAGTTCACAGTGAAAACGACACATAGAGACTCAGTTTACTGTACATCTTTGCCCCCCCCCATCCTCTACATCTCTGTGTCTGTCAACTACCTTTTTGTATGCATGTGCGGAAAGGTACAAATGTGATAATGTGCCATAATGCCTGTGTGGGTTGTTCAAAGTGTTGGCATCATTAAATATGAGTAAGATTCTCCTTAGTGGACACTGTTACAGGAGCTTTTTTGAAAGCAGGCAGATGGGTATCTAATTCTCCCTCTCAATACTAAATGGTGTTTTAATAAATTTTGATCAGACTTTTAAGACATCATTTTGGCAGCATCTCAAATATAGTTTATATGACGGATGGTTTCTCAGTACATTTCTCAGAGAAACCTACAAGTGTGGGCGCTAATAATAAAATACTTTAAGTAGGATTTTTTCAACACATTCACATGCCTCTTTTCATAGCTTTGCATGTGCTTGAAAACTGTTTTAGGTCATATGATACACCCTTTTTGTGTGCACCTTCAGTTTCCAAATCCATGGCAGTTGTGGTAAAAATAGAGCTAATTTGCATTTCATGAAATAGTCATTAAATGACTGTTGCATCATATCTTGGAGCCAACGATATTCCATAGTAACACATTACATTGAAAAGCCATTTCTGAAAATACTGACTGTTTATTTGCAGTTTCAGTAACTATTTGCTATTTTGCACACTGTAAGTTTAGTTAAGGTTACACTTCACACGAATATTTATTTTGATTTACTATTTCAGTCATACAATCTAAGATAGAGTCATGACATTCAAATTATCTGCATTGAACTGGATAATCAGGAATGCTGTGTAGTTCGACTGGTTAAGTACATATCCTGCGTATTGAAGGTGTTATTCCATTAAATAGGATGCGGTTGAATCCTTCTGTTCCCCCAATTTTCTCAGTGCCCCATTTCTTTTGTAACTGTAGTCACACAAAAGCCATCAGTGGCAAAGAATTCTGAAAAAAATAGATACATAAGTGCAAGATGATGAGCCTCCATCCCTTTGGTGAAAAGCACATTATTCTAAATGTCATTCATTTATTCGTCAGTTAGCATGAATATGAGAAATTTTCCCTCTAAATGATTTCTTTTAGCTTTGAAGTTGAGTTGGATGTCCACAGATTAATTGACATATTGAAAATAATTATGAATACCATCCTATATAGTTTTCAATGGGACATTATATGTAATATGGACAATTATATTTGGTCTTGGTTATATAAAGTCACTATAGAGTCATTTCCATAATGATTGGATTCAAAACTGACTGTGACAGGATTGATTTAAAACAAAGAGGAGACACACCCTTTAAACATACCTGTGCATGTGTGGACTACGCAGGAAAATGTTGAAGTTAAAATGGTTAAACGTTTCACGCCCCATGTACTAACAGACTGTTTCCTATAAAAAACAGGAAACAATAATAATTTTCTAAATGATTATAGACGTCTTACATGCACAGTTAAGGCTTCCTTTGAATGCTCAAAAAGATGGTGGTGCTTGTGGTCTTCACTTCTTTTTATTCCACACACCTCCCTTATACTCATGTCCTTTATTGTTCAGTTTAGGTTTTATAATTATTATTATATATCAATGAGTGAATATGAGATGGTACTAGCTATATTTGGGTATGTCTTTCTGATGGACATTTCAACAACAGCCCCAAGCTTTCTGCTTTAGACTTTTTGAATTATGTTTATGCATTTAGCAGATGCTTTTTATCCAAAGCGACTTACAAAGTAGACATGTCTCCCGTGTGACAGGCAAGGATACTCACCATTATACTAATGTGGAGACATTGAATTGAATCATTTAGTCAAAGGGAGAAAAAAGAGCCAAAAGTGCTTTAAAATAGAGAGCAACCTTTTGTCACTTCTCACTTTGAAAGGGATTTAATTAAAAATACATAAACGGAAGGTTCCCAGCAGTCATCATCTATTATTTTACAGATGTTGCGCAACATAATTGCAACTAAATTTGTAGTTGTAGATATGTTTTAAATGGCCAACATCTGACAGACAGTAAATGTCTTGACCGTCCTCAAATTGGGTTGCGCATTTGCTCACAGCTTCAACTCACCCCAAAAAAAATCTATGTGAACAGCAACAGTGTTCCCACCAATATGGTGTTGGGAGTTATCATCCTTATACCTTTAGTTCATAGTGAAAACAGCATCAACAAAGCCTCAGAAAGCACCTTAGATGAAGTTTCAAAATACAGATAGTTTCTTTTAAGAATAAAAAAGAAGGGTCATCTCTCAGTAAGAAATTTGGAGTGCTGGCATTAATATACAGGAAATTTTCTTTTTCCAATCAGACCAAAAGCAGTATCAAGAATTTGCCATACACAGCCCACTCTTGGAGCCATCTGCTATATCAAGTTATGTATTGTGTGTGTGTGTGTGTGTGTGTGTGTTTGTGTATGTTATGTAAGGACACATGGTTAAGACCCCTACTGTTTCTCCCTTCCACCTCCTACTCACAATCTGTCAATCCTTCCTGCTGTCTAGTGTTGTAAAAGTACATTCACACACACACACTTCTGCACAGCCGTCTGAAAGAATCATGACTAAGATAAATTTGAAGTACATTTCAGTGTCCACATGGAGGTTCACCGAGGTACTCCTGGGGCCCATGATAAAACACAGTGCAAGTCCTCGTCAAATGGTCATCCAGAGCCGAGTGACCACAACAATGGCCTTTAGCTGCCACTGAAACTGTAACTGAATTGAATGTCTAACTGTCCCTATTCCAGTCCTCAGTTGTGTCTCTATTTCTCTGTTTCCTCTTCTTCCTCGACAGCCAACTTCTGAACTCTCCCGAGAAATCTATACAAAACTGAGTTTTAAAGAAAAAAAATGTATGGGGCTACTTTGTTCAAATAATAACAAAGCGACAGAGTCAGTGCTTGCTTCATCTTTCTCTACAAACTGATCTTTTGCTCTTCTCCTTCCCACTTTGCCCAGTGGACACTGTGCTCTTGTCTATCTCTCTTCGTTTTCTGCCCCACTTCTGCTCTTTTACTTTAATTTATTGTGAAATCATTTCTGAGGTTGTTTCGCCTCTGTTTCTGAAGATAAAGTTTTTTTTTTCTGCCTTCCTTTGTTTGTACAATTGACTTTCATTTGTTATCTTTTGTCACTGCTAATGTAACAAAACGCACTGTGATGATTCCAGTATTAATAAAAGTTGTACTTAAACTGTGTGCCGACCCGCAAAGCTGATTTTATTATGCAGCATCTTTGGCTAAAGTCCTAGATTATCCAAGAAAGTGTAAAAGTATGGTTGGAGAAGTAGGAGTAATGGGATGGGGGAAGTCAGCTATCTTCGTGGAACAGATTACCAGTATCAGTTGCCATGCACAATGTTTTCCATCGTCAGTTAATTTTTTCTCTTTCCCACCTCTCTCACAATCACATAATTAGGATCAGATATTAACAAACGCATGGGTGGACATTTACAAAGATCCATAGCTTTACTTTGTGCACATTGTTGCATCATAATTCTATGTATTTCATAAATGCTACTTGACAAGAAACAGAAATCTGTGAATGGTTATTAAAGAAAATGTGTCCAAATTTATGCAGGAAATAAAAAAAAAGGCTAACAAAGAAAAATCTACTGGAGTCCAGAGGGAGCAAATAAGATGATGTAAGAAAATCTACGGATGTACAAAAGGTTAATTGTAGGCAATTCTATTTAATGATTGGACTCCACTGTGGAACAAAGTAAAGGTAAGACATCAAACCTGACTGTGTTCATTTGGCTAGAATTGCAATAACATTGCAATTACAGAAAAAAGAATTTATGTTTTTTCAAGATATTTGGTCTGTTTTGACCCAGTTTGTCAGTCAGCCATGAATGACCACAAAAACATTTGATAGTTTAACAGTAACATTCTGCTTTATACATTTTCATCAAATGTAATTAACCAAAAATTCTGCAATTTGCTCCCAAACATGACACATTAGCTCATGAAAAATAGTCATTAAGAATAATACTGAAAGCGTCACAAACTGTTCCTCTATTTCACTTAAAGATATAAATCCAGTGTTTATGTCCATTAACAAAGCTGCATCTTAGCTACATTACATGCAGTTTTACTTCCTGTATATATACATATTTTCCATTGGTTCTCTTTATCCTAAAACAGCTAATTCCAAATCTATTTGAATTTTTGAGCCATCTTAAAGTGTTCTGCAGTTAATCTAATATACCAGTGTAGGATCCAACTTTTTATAAAAGATGCCAAAATTCAAAATAATGTTGAAAATATAACTCAACTGCAGTCTCAGTGGTTCAGACCAATTTATTTATTTATTTATTCATTATTTTTTTTAGATAATTGACGATTACTTAATTATTACATTCAACAACCAGGGAAAATTAAATGTACTCTTTGGCTGCATGGTTATAACAAAGTAAATGCGTGGTCCCTACATTAATTGGAATGGAACAAAATCCAGTGTGTTGCTGTCATGACTAAAAAGTCCATACAAAAATGTTTAATGTTGCTAGAATTCAGTCAAATGTATCTGTTCCTGGTCACATTTTGGTCAGCCTCAAACTTCCCTTCGTCGACTCTGTGTGTGTCGTCTTTATTTGATTGAAAACAATACTTGTTCTCAGGTTCACTGCTCCTGAGAAGGAACTGTTCTGACTGCTGACAGTGGACCTGATGACAGAGATGAATTTTAATAATTTCCGTTGTGCACTGGCAGAGGGCGCCAAAGACTTTCACTGATGAAGCAGGACGGCACATGCATATATTTATTCAGATATCAGACACGTGGGATTTTGAGGAATAAGTTGGACAGACATCTGGACTCCACTTCCTCAGGAAAACACAAGATATCCTCAAGTGACTTAAATTCGTTCAAAACTCAAGCTAGTTTCTGAAAATTACGATAAATGTAACAAACTCCTCTGTTCAGTACCGGTAGATGACTTCTCACTATCAATGTGGCATCTGACGACAGATTTTTCATTATCCTTTAATAGGGTTCCTGGAGATTTCTTCTCAGGTTGCCTGAAAACAAACAAAGGCAACTGCTTCGGGCCATCGTCTGCTGAGAATTCAGGGAAGTGGTGGCTTAGTTAACCGAACCACATCTCGTCAGCCGGTCTTGATTAAACAACAATGACAGAACAAGGACAGAATTATTTTACTTAACACCAACTCCCATATTACCAGCAAGG